ACAGTCGCCCCTCAGGGTCGTGCACTTGCTGGAACATCCTTCCTGCAGGTGTTTGCATGGCTGGCTCCTTGTTTACATTCCCTGCCCGGCTGATCAAAAGTAACTCCTTCTACTGAGATACTCTCATCTGTATCTTGTGCTTTAATTTTTCTTCATGATGGTTACCAAAATCTAAAATATCATGTCAACCTATTTGTTCTAGTTGTTTATTATATGCGCTATCCTGTCTTATTACTGTTGCAGCTCCAATACCTAGAATGACGCCTGTTGGATTATAGGTACTCGGTGCTTAATAAGTATTTACAGAATGAATGAATAAGTCAGCAAGGTGTTTCTAAGTATAACTCACATCTCCAAAGATGAAAAGAGTATAAGTGCATATGTAAATGTGACACTTTGGGATATTCTGTGAGAGGAAGTTTGTTCTTCCAAAGTCTAGATAAAAATACTGCCCCCAAATGTTATACATTTTACTAAATTTTATGTGTTTGTGAACATAGAATATTAAAATATACTAGTTTTCTAATCCTTTGGTTCTTCGTATAATGCTTGGGACAGCCGGTTTAAGTCAAAGGTTTCATGTCATAATTTGATAGCAGAATTCATGTCTTTATCAGGTTAATGATTCTTCAATGGATACAAATAATTATTAAATAATGGTGGCATTGCCCTAGCCAGTTTGGCTCAGTGATTAGTGTGTTGGCCCTCGGAATGAAGGGTCCCGGGTTCGATTCCAGCCAAGGACAGGTACCTCGGTTGCAGGCTGGATCCCAGGCCCCGGTCGAGGTGCGTGTGGGAGGCAACCAATCTACGTGTCTCTCTCACATTGCTCTTTCTCTCCCTCTCTCCCTTCCACTCGTTCTGAAAAAGCAATGGAAAAAATATCCTCAGGTGAAAATTAAATAAATAAATAAATAATAGCAATGGTATTGTTAATTAGCATAATGTTTGCTAATATTTANGATTAAATAAATAAATAATAGCAATGGTATTGTTAATTAGCATAATGTTTGCTAATATTTAGTGGTTTCATGCATTATATTGATAGCAAAAATCATACTTGTATATAACATGTTTATGCTATAATTACAGCATATGAAAAGAGGTAGTTACAGTAATTCTACACATTTGTACCTGTATAGAATATATGTGATTTTTAACAAAGTTTTCAAGTGAACTTCTAAGCCCGTATGACAGCGTACTCATGAATATATCTGTGGAACTAAATTGTTGTTCTATTTGTAAAATAAATAAGATCAGATTTTGTGTTTTCCAAACTGTGATATGTTGGAGTGATCACAAGGCCAAGGTTCTGACAATCAGGTTTCTAATGCAGCTTCTGCTAACTAGTGCGATGTTGAGCAGGTCATTATAGTCACCAGAGTGTAAGCTCCCTTTGGGCAGGGATGTTTGTCTGCTGTGTTCATTGCTCTATCACCAGCCTCTGGAAAAGGCTGGGCCCAGGTAAGTGCTGAACAAATATTTGTTGCATGAATTATGCTTCGCCAAATTTACAGTTCCCACACCGACAAAACAGTTTTCCTTCTAATCCTTTTATTCTAAATTATTTTAGAGCCTTTATGAATTTAAATGAGACAGATTCATAGCTGGAACTATTTATTCAGCTTTTACCTGGGCCTTTATAAAATTGTTCAGTCCATCCAAGCTTTTTGCATTGAATATTAACATAAATAAGGCAAGAGCTAAATTGATTCACATTTGCCATCTTCGGAAGGACTAAAAAAACTTTAAAATTAAATATGTATAATTCAGATTCACAAAATTAAGTGCAAAAGGAAGTTCAATAACCAACCTCTCAAGTGATGTTTTTTCATTTATATTTTGGAAGCTACGAAGGTTTAAAACTGCTTTAAGAATTTTGGGACACCCGGTAGATACACCATTCTTTAAGAAAAGTTGATATTCCAATTTAAAAAACAACAAACTAACTAATAGACTCTTCACTTTTAAAGTTTTTTTTTCTTTTCATTATTGAACAAATGTGTAATGAATGCCAACCATGGGAAACCTGTGCTGGGAAATGCACAGAAATCAGGTCTTGACCGCCCACCTCCACATCCCCTGGACTGCCAGCCGCACACAGAGCCCCAAGATCAATGGCTACAGAGCCGCTTGGCCAGAGTCAACATCAACACTGAAAAGCCTGCTGAAGAAACCTCGAGAACTGTGTGCTACTGATTAACAACTGCCCCCTNTGCCCCCTCCTGACCACCTTACAGCCTCCCCACCACAACCACCAGGATTGATGCTTCTGGGGGGGGTTACTTTCCTACCCCCTATGGCTTGTGTGCTGACTCCATACCAGTGTTTAACGAGACCCTGACCCCTTTTTAATAAACCCATTGCTGCTCTTACCCTGTCACTCTCTACCCCCATATCCTGCCTAACTTTTTCTTTTATGGAACATGTATTACCAGTCATGTATTATTTGTTTATTTGTTCACTGCCTTTCTTGTATACACACATGCTGGAATGCAAGCTCCAGGATTGCAGGAAATTTGTCATTTATCAGTATACCCCATCACCTGGAACAGTGTGTGGCACGCATTAGGGACTTAATAAATATTTGTGGGATGGATGGATGGATAAGTGAAAAACTGAAGGAATGTATACTCTAACCTGAATCTCCTCACTGCTGATTCAACTGTTTCTCCTCCAGTTTCCAACATCACCTCATCATTTAGATTTAAAGTTTGCCCACATTTCTTCTAGCCATGATCCTCAAAGAATTTGGTATCCCACCCTGGCTGGATTGCCTCATCCTGCCTTGTAAACATTTGTCACAATTCTTCTTGGCTCACATTGGCCATATACCCGTGGGGCTTGCCCCTACCCCTCAAGTGGGATTTGGCCAATGTGTGTGCATGAATGACATGTTGCTCCACCACAGCGACTTCATAAAGGACCTACGTCTAAGAAGGAGGCACAGTATATAAATATATATACCAAAACTAAACAGTAAATGAAGACCCTGCCTTTGGTATGTGTAACCATTCTACAATGACAAGTCAATGGGCAAGACAAAGACTGGAAAGAGGAAAGGTAGAACATGCCTGTGCCTTCAGTGGGTAAATGGATACATCCTTATAAATGTTGGTAGGAGTGCAAGTTTCTATAATGTTTCTAAAGGACAGTTTAGAAATAGCTATTAAGTTAAACAGATCCTTACCCTTTTATTAGCATTTCAGCCTCTAGAAATTTATTCTATGAAAACTCTAACAACGGAAGACATCCCAGATGCTCATCAATAAGGAGATGGTTTATGTATGACACCACATAACTATGCAATGGAACAGTACAGTCACTAAAAAGAATAAGCATGGATTTATTTGTATTATATAATAATTATATCAAGTGGAATGAGGAAATTGCACATTAGTAGTTGTGATGTGATCCTGTTACTGAGTTTATACCACTGATCTGCATACTAGAGATAGCAGTCAGCAATATTCACACGTCTCTCTCCTCAGAAATAAGTTCTAATTGGGGAACAGACAACAGACAATCAAGGAGCAGTGCTGTGAAGAAATACAAAGCATGGCAAGGGAGAGAGATTGGTGGGGATTGAAAGAAACCCAAATAAAACGAGGGAGCAAGGCAAGAAAATCCTCAGGGACAGCCAGTAAGGAAACTGGGCCTGAAGCACATGCTTGGAGTGGACCAGAAAAGTCAAGAGAAACAGTGAGACTGGACGGCAGTGGTCACGTGGGATGTGGGACGGGGTAGAGGTGAGGTCTGAGAGGCAGCCCCCGTCTTAGATGGCATGTTATGGGCCATGATAACAATTTTGGATTTTCTTTTAATTGTGATGATAAACCATCACAAGATCTTGAGTAAGGAAATATCATAATCAGACTTGTGTATTTAAGGAATCACCATAGCTCTTCTGTGGAGAATATTCAGTATTGAGTCCATATCACATAACCAATTATATCTTTTATTAGACAATTTACAAAAGGGTCCCAATGACCAAAAATCAGAGGAAAACATGCACTCTTTCATATGGTTTATTTAACAGTGTTTTAGGCACCTGCCTCACAGAGGTTTTATGAAAATTGAAAAGTTTATGTTTATATTCATGTATATGTAGCTTATGTATGTAGTTATGTACATAGTCCATTTTTCATATATTATTAAAGGATATTAATACTTTATGAAAAATTAAAATAAAACCAGAAATGCTTATAGAGTGTATAGATAAAAAAAAGGGTAGGGGCAAGCCCCATGGCAGATATTAAAAGTCTAATAGTTTGTCTAACCTTTTGATATTGCTCTAATCAGACAAATGTTTTAGAATTTCATTTCCATGCTGGGAATAGAATGCTGGTTAATGCATTTCAAAGGTGCTCAAGGAAGTTGCTCTGAAGTCCAAAGGCCTTGAGATAACTTTGAAGCCTTGGAATTAAGATAATACCTATTCTACCTACATAGGTAACAAGCCATCCTAAATGAGATCATGTACATTAAAGTGCTGCAGAAATTATTAAATGAAATACTGAGGCTTCTCTTCATGAGGGGCAGATGTGTGGCAGTTCTGGAACTGTGGCATTTCCCATGCCTGGTCCCGAGCGCCTCCTCTTTTAAAGGACGTGGCCCACTCATTTAGGTCTGTTCCCACACATCGGGAGCATTTCAGATGAGGCTGGTCAGCATTCTCTTCCCACACAGCGGTTCAGTGCCAAATTCAACTTTTCACTGAAGCTCACGACGTCAGCAGCCTTGATGCAGTGAGTTCGTTTGGGCTCCCTGAGATGCAGGCAGCCTCTGGAACTGGAGCGGTGGTCTGCCGTCTGCTGCGGCCCCTCGTGGCCAGAGCACACCGTGGCAAAGAGATTTAATTAATCAGATTATTCTCTTGGATGCTGTTTTTCCGAATAAACATTTAATTGTGTGTATAATGAACTATCGTATTGGTACAGTCAGTATTCAGGAAACTGCCTACACAGAACTTAAGAGTTTCCTTTCCTCTCTCCTGCCAGAGTCGGGCCACAAGAAGTTAAAAAGCACCATTCAGAGAAGCACAGAAACGGGGATGGCGGCCGAAATGAGGAAGATGGTGCGGCAGCCAAGCCGGGAGTCCACCGACGGCAGCATCAACAGCTACAGCTCCGAGGGGAAGTAAGTGGTGCTGGCACATCTGAACGGCTGCAGAACCGTGGATGTGCCGTCACAAGAAAAATAACGCAGCCACCTGGGGTTGCTGTGCGGCTCCTTCGCTAGCTAGCCGGCCACTCACCCACCTGGAAACAGCCTGGCCTGTGTGCACGCACCCGGACACACCTCTGCACCGCCTGGCCATTCAGAACGTCAAGGGATGGCGAAACGTTGGGTTAACATAAATACACCGATTTCTAGCGCCCTGAAAAGTTCAGAATAGTCCGTGAAGGAATGTTTATTGTAGAAATGTCCCCTTCAATGGATTCTTTCATATAGGAAATTCATTGTCTGGCACGGTTACCAAAGTCTGAATTGAAATGTAGACGTGAGGAACAGGCCGACATCTGTCGGAGAGGAGGGAGGTTGTGGGGCTGGGTGTAAAAGGTGAGGGTATTAAACAAAAACAAACAAACAAACATAGACACAACGGTATGGTGATTACCAGAGGGAAGGGGAGGCAGGGAGGCAGAAGGCAGTAAGGCGCAGAAACGGTGATGGAAGGAGACTGACCTGGGGTGGGGAACACACAGTACAATATGCAGATGATAGAGCTGTCCACCCGAAGCCTATATAATTTTATTAACCAATGTCACCTCAATAAATTCAATAAAAAAGAAAAAGAAAAATCAGGAAATAAAAATAAAAAAGAAGTGAAGGACTAATTTTTCATATTCCTACATTTCTCCAAACTATTTGGGGTTCTAAGCTGTAAGTCTAACACTCATAATAGCAACGTAAATATTCTTGTTTTCAAAACATCACTAACTCATTTTTTCCCTTAAGATAAAAGCTCGGGACCTACTTTTCTCATTTTTTTTAATTAAAAAGTTTTAGTTAATTCTGAAATTAATTAATTTTGAAAAAAACATAACTACTTTTTTTTTTCTTACCTGGTTTGTTTTTTACTATTTCATGTAGATTCCTACAGAAATCCTGCATTTTCTTGTGCTTGAGAATTTTTCTGATAAAACTGAGTTTTTACTGAGGTGATAGATCTTACAAATTAGTAATTATTATTCTCCAGTGGGTACTTGGGAGTCCACCATGTACAAAATTTTTATAATTACTTATTTATTGCCATTTAAATATCTCATTTACCAATCTAATATTAATATTTTATTTTACTGGAATTTTTCTATTTTGTTCAGAAAATGAAACAAAATTATGCCAAGTGAATATTTATGATATGCTTTCCCATTCCTAAAACTAGTAAGTTCATTTGTTTGATCAAATGATTGGGATGCATGCTCCCAGCAAGACATAACTAAGAACAAAAGTCAGCAGGAGTCAACGTTATGGAGATAAATTTGCTGACAAAACAATATGCGATGATGTATTATAAAGCAATGTGCAAATGCAAGACTGGAGACATTTTTTATATAAAAACTAACATCAAATAATGTTTACCTCCATCATGGATAAGCCCCTCAACCTCTCGAAGATTGATTTTCACAGTCTCTGGATGGGATAACAATATGTACCCTGTCTAATTCCCTTGATTGTGAAGAAATAACGTGTAGAAGCAGTAAATTCCTATGGACATCTGTTTATTCCAAAAATGCTCATTGTAATCCAGGGACCTAACAAGCCTGATTCTCGTTGCCCAGGGCACATCCATAAAGAAGGGCATAGTCAGTGCTCTGGTGGAGCATACAGCCCAGGGAACGCAGGCAGTCGTTCTGTAATAAGACATAGACATATTTTCATCAATTCATTGCCATTTGAACTTAGTAAAAATCTCAGAGAATATAAAAACTTAATACTTTCACAAATGAATAAATTAAACATTTTTATTTGTAAGAAAGAATGTGTGCTGTGCTAATATTTAAGCAATTATTAACCATTTTTTAAGTGTAGCATTAATGTTACTCAGTGTTTATGAGCAATTATTTATGTAAAGTTCATGATGTAAAAATTGGCATCTTATATTTTATGTCAGTGATATATTTATGTAGGGAATTTTATTTGTAAGTGTCCAGAAACTGTAACGTATTAGAAACTATAACAGAGCTCTCCTGAATGGAATATCAGCTCTTAATTTAGATCTTTAGAGAGTTTAGATCTTTTCTCAATCAGTGCAGAACCGCATTCATATACTTGTTTGGCACAGAGGCAATGCAATGAATAAGTAAACCGATTGTCTAAGCAGTGGTTATGATTCATGATCAGAATTAGTAGTCTAATGGAAACCAATGAAAAGAATTCTAGCAGAGCTAATGTTTTGATTTTTTGTTCTTTTGCTAATAGCTTAATATTTCCTGGAGTGCGACTAGGAGCAGACAGTCAATTTAGTGATTTTCTTGATGGGCTGGGACCAGCCCAGCTTGTTGGCCGCCAAACCCTCGCCACCCCTGCAATGGGTAAGAATCATTTTTTTAAGGTCACTTAAAGTAGCATAATAGTACTGCAAGTGAAAAGTAACATTTCAGCCAAGGTGTTGCTGGTTTCGAATGACTACTCTCATTTCTAATGCATTTTTCAACTTGAGACATTATGCAAAATGAAGAAAGTTAGTCCTACATCTTTGAATTATCAGAAAACCCCTGTCAGGTTAGTCTACAATTCATCCAAATGTAGGGTAAAGGGTAGCATTTCACCACATGGAAAAAACGAAGGATTATTCAGTAAAGGATCTTGGCATAAATATTTAATTCTGTTTTTAAAATGAAATTGCTTTCCTACTTCAAAACTTTAAAAAAAACAATATTTTAGACTCAATTGTAAAGATAAACAAGGGGTGGAGAAAGGTACTAGAAAATACTGAAAAACATTAAGGTAATGTTTCTATATTCTTGGTGTGGGAAGAATTTCCAAAGGATCAAACCAAAGCCAGAGAAATTGTCTACTAGCAGAATACACCCTAAATGAAGTTAAAGATAATGAATGGAGAAAATTATGTGTAACATGTGCAACAGCTGTTTCCTGAAGGACATCAGATTCCAGCTTGAAAGGACCCACGTAGTACTCAGTAAAATGCATGAAAATAGGGCAATAGAGAGGCACATCACCATGGAATTAATAGAAAATCCTCCAGGTTTCCTTAAGAGGATAATTCTATACAAAACTATCAAAATCAGATTTCCATTTGACTCTTTAAAAATGACCCTGGAAGGTAGAGGACTACTCAACATTACCTTCAAAATTCTGAGTAACAGTTGATTTCCAGCATCGAGTACAATAGCCAGCGAGATTCTCACGTAAGTTTAAGGCTAGAATAAATAAATACTCAGACAGGAAAGGTCTCAAAATATTCGCCTCATACCCAACATCACTCAGAAAGCTATTGGTGAGTAGAAAATGAGAAGATGAGATCCAGTAAACAGATGCTTCAACACAGAGAGAAATGGTTGGTGGTGACGGAAGATGGAAAGATAGCAGCCGTAGCAAGCTTTCAAAGCAGTCTGTTCAAACTGTAGCATGTCAGATTTCATAAGATTAAAACCTATAGAACACCTCATGCATTTGATTTTATGGAACAAGTAAACAACCAGGGGAGTGCAAGGAGTTGAATTAGTGATATGCACGTAAAAATGTAAGCAAATGCTTTCTAAAAAGACACTTATTAAGTGTGGGGAAAAAGGAAGAGCTGTCCAAGAAATGAGAAGTAGTAACCATAGTATTGCAGTCCACTCGGCTATAAATAACGTCACGTGATCATAATACAAACATTAATACTGGGAGAATGGGATGACAGAAATTGTTTAGTATGTGGTGAGAATAGGAAAGAAGTCAGAGAGATCAAAATTAGAAGTCAATAATATCTAAAACTGAAAAAAATAGGATGCTATCTTATAAGTATAGCATTTAGAGATAGGGAGGCAAATGCCAAAAAGTAAAAAATAGATCAGATAAAAATATTGAAACTTATGAAAGCAGTGACCCTTGGGAGGCAAGCAGTTGACAGAGAAAATGGGAATCTTTTCTACTAATAAAAAAAAAATGTCTTATAGAACAGTTTGACTCATTTAAGGTGTGTATGTGATCAAAACAAAAAGGACCATGAGACCTCCAGGAGCTGAGATCTAAAACAGAATTATAAAACTAATGAGCAATCCAGAACCACAAAGTCGATCAACTGGCTCTGCAAATAGAGTTCACAACTGAAAAATGGAGATGACTCAACAAACTAAAAATAACTTATAAATAATTACATTTAACATTTTCAGAGATAAAGTATCATCTCCATCAGAAAAAGAACATATTATTAAAAATGGGTAAAGGACATGACAGGCAAGACAAATTGAGAAGGAACACACATTGAAAACACCATGTCCAGCCTTCCTAATAATCAAGGAAATGCAAATTACAAGTTTTTAACCAGGAGTTTGGCAAAAATTAGACATTTCGTTAATACCACTATTAGTGGGCTGTAATACTTCTGATGATAGTGCAAACTGGCACATCCTCTCTGAAGGATGTTTGACAGTATGGAGTTTTTGAATGCCCATTCAATTAGACCCAATAATTAAAAATCTGGGGATTTATGCTTAAGAAATCATTGATGAAGTGTGCAAAAATTATTTATAAAGCTATTCATTATAATGCTGTTTATAATAGATAATCTATATTTGGTTAAATAGGTAATGGCATGCCTGTTAAGTGGTCAGTACAGTCAATAAGTTAAGGATGTGTGGTCATAACAGCTGGATAGATAGGTAAGAAGGAAAAAAGAAAGGATGGGAAGGAGGGAGGAAAGTACTTACGAGATTGTCAGGATAGTCACCAAAACACTAGCTAGTGGTTTCTCTAGATAATGGAAATATAGATAAGTGATGCTTTTTATTAAGAAGTATCATATAATAAATGACATAAAGGATAGGACATCTCATTAGAGTACAAGAATCATGAAAATGAGCACACAACAACCCAAAATCTATGGGGCACGGCGAAAGCAGTCCTGAGAGGAAAATTCATGGCACTACAGGCCTACCTCAAAAAGCAAGAAAAAATTTTAATAAATTATCTAACCCTACAACTTAAAGAATTACTAAGTGCCCCTGTGAAGCTGTCCAGACCAGGGCTCCTGTTTGCTGGGAGATTTTTTTATTGCTGCTTCGATTTCATCAGTTGTTATTGGCCTGTTCAGGTTTTCTGATTCTTCCTGCTTCAGTTTTACATGATCTCACTCAATGTGGAATCCAATAAGCAAAATAGACAGGAACAAAATCGATCCAGAAGCACGGAACAGACTAATGAATCTCAGTGGGAAGGCGGGGGTGGGTCAGTGGGTGGGGAGGGATTAATCGAAGAACTTATATGCACATATGCACAACCCAGGGACACAGACCATAGTGTGGGGAAGGCCTGGGGC